CTACAGCCACTCAGACCCCCACTACAACCACACAGAACTCCACTACTGCCACGCAGACCCCCACTACAGCCACGCAGATCCCCACTACAACCACACAGACCCCCACTACAGCCACACAGACCCCCACTACAGCCACGCAGACCCCCACTACAGCCACACAGACCCCCCACTACAACCACACAGACCCCCACTACAACCACACAGACCCCAACTACAGCCACGCAGACTCCCACTACAACCACACAGACCCCCACTACAAACACACAGACCCCCACTACAACCACTAAGACCACCACTACAGCCACTCAGACCCCCACTACAATCACACAGACCCCCAATACAGCCACACAGACCCCCACTACAGCCACGCAGACCCCCACTACAGCCACACAGACCCCCACTACAACCACACAGACCCCCACTACATCCACACAGATCCCCACTACAGCCTCATAGACCCCCACTACAGCCACACAGACCCCCACTACAGCCTCACAGACCCCTACTACAGCCACACAGACCCCCACTACAGCTACACAGACCCCAACTACAGCCTCACAGACCCCCACTACAGCCTCGCAGACCCCACTACAGCCTCACAGACCCCCACTACAGCCACACAGACCCCCACTACAGCCACGCAGACCCCCACTACAGCCACACAGACGCCCACTACAACCACGCAGACCCCAACTACAACCACGCAGAACCCCACTACAGCCACACAGACCCCCACCACAGCCACACAGACCCCCACTACAACCACTCAGACCCCCACTACAACCACGCAGACCCACACTACAGCCACGCAGACCCCCACTACAACCACACAGACCCCCACTGCAGCTACACAGACCCCCACTACAGCCTCACAGACCCCGACTACAGCCTCGCAGACCCCCACTACAGCCACAGAAACCCCCACTATAGTCACACAGACCCCCACTACAACCACTCAGACCCCAATACAACCACACAGACCCCCACTACAGCTACAGAGACCCCCACTACAGCCTCACAGACCCCAAATACAGACTCACAGACCCCCACTACAACCACGCAGACCCCCACTACAGCCACACAAACCCCCACTACAACCACGAAGACCCCCACTGCAACCACGCAGATCCCCACTACAGCCACACAGATCCCCACTACAGCCACGCAGACCCCCACTACAGCCACACAGACCCCCACTACAAGCACGCAGACCCCCACTACAACCACACAGACCCCCACTACAACCACGCAGACCCCCAATACAACCACACAGACCCCCACTGCAACCACACAGACCCCCACTACAACCACACAGACCCCCACTACAGCTACATAGACCCCCACCACAGCCACACAGACCCCCACTACAGCCACAGAGACCCCCACGACAGCCACGCAGACCCCCACTACTACCACGCAGACCCCCACTACAACCACGCAGACCCCCAATACAGCCTCACAGACCCCGACTACAGCCACTCAGACCCCCACTACAACCACGCAGACCCCCACTACAGCCACACATACCCCCACTACAGCCACGCAGACCCCCACTACAGCCACGAGGACCCCCACTACAGTCTCACAGACCCCCACTACAACCACGCAGACCCCTACTACAGTCTCACAGACCCCCACTACAGCCACACAGACCCCCACTACAACCATACAGACCCCCCCACTACAACCACGCAGACCCCCACTACAGCCACGCAGACCCCCACTTCAGCCACATAGACCCCCAACACAGCCACACAGACCCCCACTACAGCCACAGAGACTCTCACGACAGCCACGCAGACCCCACTACAACCACGCAGACCCCCGCTACAACCACACAGACCCCCACTACAGCCTCACAGACCCCGACTACAGCCACTCAGACCCCCACTACAACCACGCAGACCCCCACTACAGCCACACAAACCCCCACTACAACCACACAGACCCCCACTACAACCACACAGACCCCCACTACAGCCACTCAGACCCCCACTACAACCACACAGAACTCCACTACAGCTACTCAGACCCCCACTACAGCCACGCAGACCCCCACGACAACCACACAGATCCCCACTACAGCCTCACAGACTCCCACTACAACCACACAGACCCCGACTACAGCCACTCAGACCCCCACTACAGCCACGCAGACCCCCACTACAGCCACAGAGACCCCCACTACAGCCTCGCAGACCCCCACTAAAACCACACAGATCCCCACTACAACCACACAGACCCCCACTACAGCCTCACAGACCCCCACTACAGCAACACAGACCCCCAATAGAGCCACACAGACCCCCACTACAGCCACTCAGACCCCCACTACAACCACACAGAACCCCACTACAGCGACGCAGACCCACACTACAGCCACGCAGACCCCTACTACAGCCACACAGACCCCCACTACAGCTACACAGACCCCCACTGCAGCCACACAGACCCCCACTACAGCCACACAGACCCCCACTACAGCCACTCAGACCCCCACTACAACCACACAGACCCCCACTACAGCCACTCAGACCCCCACTACAGCCACACAGACCCCCACTACAGGCACACAGACCCCCACTACAGCCACAGAGACCACCACTACAGCTACTCAGACCCCCACTACAGCCACGCAGACCCCCACTACAACCACACAGACCCCCACTACAGCCACGCAGACCCCCACTACAGCCACGCAGACCCCCACTACAGCCACACAGACCCCCCACTACAACCACACAGACCCCCACTACAACCACACAGACCCCCACTACAGCCAAGCAGACTCCCACTACAACCACACAGACCCCCACTACAAACACACAGACCCCCACTACAACCACAAAGACCACCACTACAGCCACTCAGACCCCCACTACAATCACACAGACCCCCACTACAGCTACAGAGACCCCCACTACAGCCACGCAGACCCCCACTACAGCCACACAGACCCCCACTACAACCACACAGACCCCCACTACATCCACACAGATCCCCACTACAGCCTCATAGACCCCCACTACAGCCACACAGACCCCCACTACAGCCGCGCAGACCCCTACTACAGCCACGCAGACCCCCACTACAGCTACACAGACCCCAACTACAGCCTCACAGACCCCCACTACAGCCTCGCAGACCCCACTACAGCCTCACAGACCCCCACTACAGCCACACAGACCCCCACTACAGCCACGCAGACCCCCACTACAGCCACACAGACCCCCACTACAGCCACACAGACCCCCACTACAACCTAACAGACGCCCACTACAACCACGCAGACTCCAACTACAACCACGCAGACCCCCACTACAGCCACACAGACCCCCACCACAGCCACACAGACCCCCACTACAACCACTCAGACCCCCACTACAACCACGCAGACCCACACTACAGCCACGCAGACCCCCACTACAACCACACAGACCCCCACTACAGCTACACAGACCCCCACTACAGCCTCACAGACCCCGACTACAGCCTCACAGACCCCCACTACAGCCACAGAAACCCCCAATATAGTCACACAGACCCCCACTACAACCACTCAGACCCCAATACAACCACACAGACCCCCACTACAGCTACAGAGACCCCCACTACAGCCTCACAGACCCCAACTACAGCCTCACAGACCCCCACTACAACCACGCAGACCCCCACTACAGCCACACAGACCCCCACTACAACCACGAAGACCCCCACTGCAACCACGCAGATCCTCACTACAGCCACACAGACCCCCACTACAGCCACGCAGACCCCTACTACAGCCACACAGACCCCCACTACAACCACGCAGACCCCCACTACAACCACACAGACCCCCACTACAACCACACAGACCCCCACTACAACCACACAAACCCCCACTACAGCCACACAGACCCCCACTGCAGCCACACAGACCCCCACTACAGCCACACAGACCCCCACTACAGCCACACAGACCCCCACTAGGCAGAGCCGGATGAAGTTTCTTGAAGGCCCTCGGCACTTCTGCTTCGTAGGCCTTCGGTGGTAACTCTCTACAGCTGCTACTGGCCGCTGCCCCATGGTCACATTTGTTCTTTTTTATCCTACAAACAACAGAAACACGGTCAGCATTATTTTCATAGGCCATAGGCACGGTAGCTGTTGTGCCTATTGGATCCTAGGGCCCGACTCCAAGGGGTTAACTCATCCCTCTGGGGTCGATTATTGTACGGCTAATTTGTGGGGACGTCAAAAGTGTTTTGTCTTTTGGATCGACTCGTCTCCGACTTGGGAATGTGGAATGGCCACCGGTGGCACTGCAGGCTGCAAGTCCACGTCTGTGCGCAGGGTGCTCACGGTTCACGTGCAGCCATCGTTGCTTATTGAGCGTTTCTCGTTTCTCGCCGTGTGTTCGCACGCACTCACACACACGTGTGGTGTGTGTGAGTGCGTGTGGTATGTATGTGTGGTATGTGTGTGTGGGTGTGTGGGTGCGTGTGTGTTGTATGTGTGTGTGGTATGTGTGTGTGGGTGCGTGTGTGTGGTATGTGTGTGTGGGTGCGTGTGTGTGGTATGTGTGTGTGATATGTATGTGTGGTATGTGTGTGTGGGTGCGTGTGTGTGGTATGTGTGTGTGTGGTATGTGCGTGACTGTGTGTGTGTTTATGCGCGTGCGTGTGTGTACGTGTGTATGAGTGTCAGTGTCGCGGTTAGCGCGTTGGGCTACGGACCCGGAGACCCAAGTTCAATTCCCGCTCGTGGCCAACGGCAGTGACGATGATCTGAACTGGGTTTGGGCATCCCCTAGGTCGACTCAGCCTCAAATGAGGACTTGGTGCAGCGTGTAGTAAACATCGCCACTAGGGAGACAAAGGCGCCCGGGTGTTGTGTTGGCTACCCACCCCCTCGCGTGCCGTGCCGGCCTTCATAGGTGCGACTCGCTGACAGCACTTTCCCCAACAGTCTGTTGAAAGCTACACGGGGGATCTTTGTCTTTGTTCGTGCTCGCGCAGATGCGGAGGGCTCGGGCCGCGGCTCCACTCGCCGCACAGGCAGCTGCTCACGGTGCCGCTTCGGAGCCGAGTGCGATGACGACGCTGAGGACGTTGGGTAGGAGTCTCACCCCTCCACCCCCTCCATCCCCCCTCCTCCTCCATCTCCTCTACCCCCCTCCACCCTCCTGCCTTTCTACCGCAGTTCTCAGGGTTCCGCTCTCTCCCCACACCCCCGGGCCCTCCCTCTGGCACACTGCGGCACCGCACGCATGCGGGCACGTGCGTGTGACCCGCCACTGCTGCTGCGTCCGGAGGAATCGCTCGCGTAACGGAATGCGCGGCAAAGTGCGAAAGTTCCGCCGCCGAGTTGAAGTGAGGTGGCTATTTATTGTACGAGCTTGTGCGCGTTGCTCCTCTGCCATTTGGCTTTTGGGCAAAATCCACGGTGGGTTTTGGCTCGGTAATCACCCCCGGTCGCGCACGGATGGAAGCTTCTGGCACGGCGGGCGCGTTGCCAGAATGCGCTGGGAAGCTCGCTCAACATCGTCCCGGCGATGGTGCGCCGCTGCCGATTGCCGGCGTACGAATGCCGGGCCTCGCTCGTCATTAACGTGGACGCAAAATATTCCGGCCGCTCTCCCCCCCGTTACCGGCCCTGCGAGGGGCCCCCCTCTCAGTATTTTAATGCGTGGCTCGCTTGCCTTGAGAGCCTTTGACCTTCCATTATTCACGCTTCCCCGTCTCCCGCGCCGCCAGAGAGAGGCCCGGGATGCATGGGGGATTCATTGGTAATGAAGTCTCGCTGCACCCATCGCTTTGCCCTTGAGTGACGCTCGACGCCCTCGCGAGCGCGTCGAGCGTCTGTCGCGGTGGCCGACGGGGGCTGCCGCGTCCCTTTGTCGAGGACGTGCGCACGGACGGCATTTTCGTTGATCCACTGCTGGATGAAGAACCAGACGGAAACGAGGGGTGCAAAAAACGTAAATCTCAACTTCAAAAGGAATTCGTTCTGGAATCAAATGGCACACACGGATCGTGGAGATCCCATCACTGTTGGTGGTGTGGATCGCTGCATGTGCAGTGTCACTGCTGATGGTTTGTGCATAAAGCTGAGCAATCTGTACACGCGCGTGTGTGTGTCAGTGTCACGGTTAGCACGACTCTGCGCTACGAAACCGACGACTCGAGTTGGATTCCCGCTCACGACCACTAACACCGGTGACGATGATCCGAACCGCTAAACTGGTCCTGAACCTCCCCTAGGTTGCCACAGCCTCAAATTAATACCTGGTGCAGTGTGTAAACATTGCTACTGGGAAGACAAAGGCGGCGGGGCGTGGTGCTGGTCTTCATAGGTGCTCGCTGAGAGCACTTTCCCCAACGGTCATGTTCAGGCTACACAGGGGATCTTTGTTTTGCTCGCGTGCATTTACAGTGGCCACGCATTGATTCACTGCCCCAGCAACCCATAATGGATCGCGTCCACTTCGTACAATTTTACTTGTCTCAATGTAAGTTCGCCTCAATGTAAGATTAGTAGCATCTCGTTTGCGACACAACGGTTTGATTGTCGTCCATACGATTTGAAGTGTTTGAAAATGATGTTATTGAAATTCTTCTTATATATTCGTCATTCGTTTGTGCGATTTAATTTGAGTGTTGTTATCATGATAAGTCAAGTAACATCTGTGCGCCCGACTCAATCCTGGCTGGGTGAGGATTGAACCATGACGAGTGGCACGGAACTCACCCCCACTGTACATCTCTCCTCGAGCTTCATGAGAGAATTGGCTCGAAGCGACGAACCGCGGCGCCGTCACGCCGCCAACTTGGGCCCGGGTCGGCACGAAACGCGGCGCGGACCATGGGAGGGAACCCGCGAACGCGGCCACGGAGGAATCCGCGTGGCCGCGTTTACCGGGACGCTCGCCGCGCCCCCGCCGCGACCGGACTCGGCGTCCGCCTCCCGCCCGGCGTTTCTCACGCCGCCCGTTACGCCGCTCGCGGCCCTGAGCGGCCTCCTTGCGCCCTGCCCGCGAACGCGGCGCGCGGCGCAGGCGCTCCGTGACGCCGCGTAGCCGCCGGGCGAAGCGCCGGTTGTCGGGACGCGTTCCGCGGTCAGGCCGTTACCGTCGAGGCCGGCGGTCGCGGCTCTGAGTTCAAGGTCGTTGTAGGGCCGGCCATCGGCGTCACAATTGAGCGGCTCCCGGGAGTGGCTCATTATTAATTAATTGAAATGCTTCACCTGCCGTAATCCCTCGAGGTGGGACATCTCGTCTGCAAGGGCATCCGGCGTGCATCCGGTGACGCACGCGGAGCAAACACGCGGTGACATCACTCGCACGCAGTCAAATAAATAGACAACGAATCTGTGAATAGGTGCCGCGTGTCCTGCCGGTAGGTGTAGAGACTGTCCTCTGACTGGGTCGGCTGGGGTTGCCGCGTGGCGCTGCGGCGGTGTGCCGGGCTGTGACGCGTGCTCTCTGGTGCCCCGCCCCCCACAGCTGCGTGTGCAACATCGACTGCACGGGCCACAACTACAACCCGGTGTGCGCGTCGGACGGCAACTCGTACGACAACCCCTGCCTGGTGCGCGAAGCGTCCTGCATGCGCCAGGAGCTCATCGAGGTCAAGTACCTGGGCCGCTGCCAGGGTGAGCAACGCAGAGACAGAGATCCCCCATGCAGCCTTCACCAGGCCGCAGGGGCGAGCGCTGTTAGCGATGCACCTCGTAAAGAATGGCGCGCGAGGCGGTGGGTGGCCGGCACCACGCCCGGTCGCCTGTCTCCTCGGAGGGTTTACGCAACGCACGGGGTATTCATTTAAGGCTGAGTCGACCTAGGGGAGGCCAGGGACTGGTTGAGATATTCGTCGCCAAATTCGGGCCGCCAGGTACACGGGCACCTACACAAGGACCTACACAGACACGCACGCACGCACGCACACACACATGCACCTACACAGACACGCACGCACACACACACACAGGCACACAGGCACCTACACAGACATGCACGCACGCAGACACACAAAGATCCCCCATATAGCCTTAACAGACTGTAGGGGCAAGTGCTGTTAGTGAGCACCTATGATGGCCGGAACGGTACACGAGGGGGTGGGTGGCCAGTAACCACGCCGGACCGCCTTTGTCTCCCCAGTGGCGATGTTTACTCACCACACCAGGTACTCATTTCAGGCTGAGTCGACCTAGGGGAGGCCCAGGACCGGTTCAGATAATCGTTACTGGTGTTGGCCATGAGCGGGAATCGAACCCAGGTCGCTAGGTTCATAGCGCAGCGCGCTAACCGCTACACTACCGCTCCCCAGGCACCTACACAGGCACCTATACAGGCACCTACACAGACACGCACGCACACACGCACACAGACACACACACAGGCACCTACACAGACACACACGCACACACACAGACACACACACAGACACCTACACAGACACGTACACACGCACACAGACACACACACAGGCACCTCCACAGACACACACGCACACACACGCACACAGACACACACACAGGCACCTACACAGACACACAGACACACACAGGCACCTACACAGACACACACAGACACACACAGACACACAGACACACACACACACAGACACACACACAGGCACCTACACAGACACAGACACACACACAGGCACCTACACACACAGACACACACACAGACAACAACAACAACAACCGCCATTCGCCACTAAGTGGCGGTGACGTCACCACGACGCTTGTGCCAGGCTATGTGCACCCTGAGGCCACGTGAAGTGTCGAACGCCCGCTGGCAGGAGGTCACGGGGCAGACCCAGGTGCCACGGGTCGACTGACTGAGATGACTGGCTGATGCACCACCTGTGCCCCCTACTGTGCCAACCTGCTGTGCTTTAGCCACCCGGCGCTCCGCTCGCTGTTGTGAGCGTCGCTCCTCCGCCCTCCGTTGTTGTTGGAGGGCGACTGCCTCCAACTGCCCAGTAGCATCCTTCACGAGCCTCCTCCACAGAGGCCGATCTTGACACCGCTGGTACCAGTCATCGGCAAGTCCACTCAGCTCCACGTCCTCCTGTACCACATCACTCCATCTCTTCTCTAGCCCGTGCCGCGCCCGCTTAGCCCCCTCAATCCGGCCAAACAAAAGCTGTTTCGGCATGCGTTGGCTGGGCATGCGGGCTACATGACCCAGCCATCGCAGCCTTGCCTGCCGGAGGAGCTCACCGATGGGACCCTGCCCAGATCTTTCAAGGATTTGTGAGCTCCTCACACAATCCAGTCTGGTTAAACCCAGGATGGATCGTAGGCAGGCCAGCCTAAATGTTTCTAACCGGCGAAGATGTTCCATTAGGGGGGTCCACGTTTCGCAAGCGTAGAGAAGGGAGGGAATGACCGTGGCCGAGAAGACCTGAAGCTTAGTGCGGAGCGACAGACCAGGTAGCTTCCACACAGCGTTACGCAACCGATGAAAAGATATTGCCGCTCGACTGATTCGGAGTGAGACCTCTGCTGTTAAACTGGAGCCAGTCATAAGCACACTGCCCAGGTATGGGAAACTCTCCACTCTCTCCACAACTGCCCCATCACCGATTGGGAGTTGTGGGGGTGGAGTGTCCGATGGTACAAAATACCCAGGCAGGTGCTTAGTTTTGGTGGGGCTGATGGTAAGGCCCCACCTCTTAGTGGCACGCTCCAGTCCCAGCAGCAGCGTCTCCAACTCCTCCTCTGACTGAGCAGCTATTACCAAGTCATCAGCATACATAACGTGGTTGAGCAATAGGGAGCCATCCCTTGACCGCACCCGGGCATCGATTAGCCTCCCATTATATCTATACCATATGGAGATTCCCCCGGTACAGCTATTGAAGGCTTCACGAACTACGTGGTCAAAATAGATGTTAAATAATGTGGGAGCCAGAGGACATCCCTGTCGCACCCCAAGGTGTACAGGGAATGGCTCTGACTCCCGGCCACGTAGTTTTACCCGGGCCCGCTCACCATCATGAAGGTCCTTAATGATCGTGAGCAGAGGGTCAGGTACTCCAAAAGCACGAAGAACGACCCAGAGCCCAGGCCTACTGATGGTATCATAGGCCTTGACCAGGTCAATAAAGCAGAGATGTAGGTCTTGTTGGAATTCCCTACACCTCTGCTGTAGCAGACGGACAGAAAATATGGCATCTGTGCAGGACCGCCCTTTCCTGAAACCGCATTGGGGCTCCGCAAGCCTCTCCTCAGCGTGCCTGGCAAGGCGATGCTGAATAATCCTTGCCAGGACCTTTCCCGGCACACTGAGGAGTGAGATGCCCCTGTAGTTGTTACAGTCTGTGCGGTCCCCCTTCTTAAAAAGGGGGACCACCAGGGCATCCTTCCAATCCTGCGGAACCCGTCCAGTGGTCCAGACTGTTGTTATGATGTCATATAGGGCAGTCTGTGCACAAACGCCACCCTCCCTCAGCATTTCGCTTGGGAGATCATCTCTGCCCGCTGCCTTTCCTGGTCTCAGACTCCGGATCGCCTTCAATACTTCCTCAGCAGATGGCACCTCAGCCAGCCACTCACAGGGGGTGACTTCATCCAATATTTGAGGCACCGCAGCCTCAGCAGGGTCATCCTCACTTTGTGCCACGATGTTTTCCTGGCTGAGGGATTTTCCCTCCCCCAGGATCTCACAGAAATGCTCAGCAAATCTGCGAACCTGTTCCTGGGGGTCGGAAATTGGATCACCGTTTTTTCCCCTAATGATGGTAATAGGTGTGGCGCTGCAGGTTGCTTTTTTGATGGAGTTAAATAGAGATTTGTGATCACGGGCCACTGAGGCAGACTCCATCTCCTCAGCAACCCGCGACCACCACCCATCCTTGCAGCGCCTCACGGCTCTCCGAACCTCCAAGCGAAGGCTGCGGTAAGCCTCCTCATTCTCTGACGTGGGATTCTGTAGCCGATGACAGTGGGCCTGTTGCTTTTTCTCAACCATCGTGAACAACTCCTCTGTCATCCAGGGTGTCTGGGGAGGTCTGGACCGTGTACCCAAAGCAGCCATTGCAGCTGCATGAGTCACAGTCCTAAACCTCGCCCATTTACCCTCGACATCAGGAGGAGTCGGGGACGATGCCAATCCCAGCCGCAAGCGATGATGAAATTCTCGCTTGCAACTTTCATCAGATAACTGAGACCAGGCCACTTTAGGTTGGAATGGGGTCCTGGGTGTACACCCACCACCGGAGTGGAAGAATGGCAGGCGCATCTTACAGATGACTAGTCGATGGTCAGAGGGCAGATCAGCTCCACGGTAGGTCCTGGTTTCAAGGACATGGGCTCGCATTCGCTGGTCCGTCACTATGTAATCCAGCAGATGTTCTTGCTTGGACCCGGCATGCATCCATGATGTTGTGTGGATGCGCCGATGCCGGAACAGCGTGTTGGTAATTACAAGCCCATGGGCTGCACAAAAATCTAGCAGCCTCCTACCGTTGTTATTGAGCTGATCTGGCCCATGCCCTCCAATCACTCCAGACCAGGTGCCAGTATCATGACCAACTCGGGCATTGAAGTCACCCAACATGATGACTCTATCCCGAGGGGCCACTTTAGCCAGCACCTGTGACAGGAGGTCATAGAAGGCATCTGACTCATCGGCTTTGCCTGCATCCCTCCACGGATGTTCATCTTCGGTGGGGGCATAAGTAACCACGACCACCATTCCTCGCCTCCGGTTGATGGGAAGGCGAGCCCAAAGTAGCCTGGGGCTTACAGCTTCCCACACCTCACCGCCACGCTCCCACGCCCCCTTCATTCTTTTGTTCAAAAGAAGACCCACACCCTGTTGTTTGGCAGTCTGCTGCCCCGAGTAGAGGACTGTCCACCCCTCATGGTGGCAGGAGCCAGAGCCGGTCCACCGGACCTCCTGAATGCTGCATAGATCCAGGCGGTACCGGTCCAGCTCCCGACAGAGGAGTGGCAGCCTCTCCTCTGCAGTGAGCGTTCGAACATTCCACGTGGCCAACCGTAGTGGCTTTTCGTTGTTTCTGGAGTAGCCCCGAGGGTAGGTATTCAATCTCCTGGCTCCGCCAATTGGGGTTTGGCCAGGAGACGTCATAGACGCCTGGCCCCCCGGGGCCTCCGGCACAAGCTTAGTTGTTACATATTTCAGTTTAATTCGTAGTTTCGTGGTAATTAATTGAAGGTGGAGGGGTTACCAGCCCCTCGCACCCGTCCAGAGCCCCCGTTTAGCCCCTGTGGTGGACACATATGCCATGAGGGGAGGAGCCAATCAAAATTGGATCTCCCCCCACAGCGCTGTCCACGACAGAGTTGCCCGTCCGGCACCGCGAGGAGGTAGGGGGTTGTTTTGCCACACAGACACACACACACAGACACACACACAGGCACCTACACAGACACACACACACAGCAACCTACACAGGCACCTACACAGACACACACACAGACACACACACAACAAAGATCCCCCATATAGCCTTAACAGACTGTAGGGGCAAGTGCTGTTAGCGAGCACCTACGAAGGCCGGTAACGGTACACGAGGGGGTGGGTGGCCAGCACCACGCCCGACCGCCTTTGTCTCCCTAGTGGGAATGTTTACACACTGCACCAGGTACTCATTTGAGGCTGAGTCGACCTAGCGAAGGCCCGGGACCGGTTAAGATTAGCGTCACTGGTGTTGGCCGTGAGCGGGAATCGAACTCGTGTCGCCGGGTTCATAGCGCAGCGCGCTAACCGCTACACTACCGCTCCCCAGGCACCTACACAGGCACCTAGAGAGCTGTGTACCCACATGAAGTATAGCTGTACCCACATGATGTATAGCTGTGTACTCACATGAAGTATAGCTGTGTACCACATGAAGTATAGCTGTGTACCACATGAAGTATAGCTGTGTACCACATGATGTAGAGCTGTGTACCACATGAAGTATAGCTGTGTACCACATGAAGTATAACTGTGTACCACATGATGTAGAGCTGTGTACCACATGATGTAGAGCTGTGTACCACATGATGTAGAGCTGTGTACCACATGATGTAGAGCTGTGTACCACATGATGTAGAGCTGTGTACCACATGAAGTATAGCTGTGTACCACATGAAGTATAGCTGTGTACCACATGATGTATAGCTGTACCCACATGATGTAGAGCTGTGTACCACATGAAGTATAGCTGTGTACTCACATGAAGTATAGCTGTGTACCCACATGATGTATAGCTGTACCCACATGATGTATAGCTGTGTACCCACATGATGTAGAGCTGTACCCACATGATGTAGAGAGATAGACGCACTTTGTTGCACTTTGTTGGATTGTCATCGGTAGCGTCCCACCGTGAGCGCCGTGCGGCCGGGTGGCTCGACGGCGGAGCGAGTGGATCGCACTCGCGGGGTCGCGAGCTCGCGTCCCGACACGGGAATGTGGAATTTCCCCCACCGGTGGAACCCGCGGGGCTGCCGGCAGCAGATGAGCACCGATGCCTCAATGCTCATTCGAGCCGCAGGAGATCAATCCGACTGTGAAACACAATTGCGTGGCACGATATCGCGACCGTGCCGATTGGTCGGGGGCTGGCGTGCGAGCGGCGGGCCCCTGGTGGCCGTGACGCGAGGCCGCCACCGCAGGAGGCACCGTGCCCAGCGCGGTGCCGCCGTCGCCGCCGTACATCGGCCGCCACCCTCCCCGGGGCGTGTTCATTGGATGAGGGTCGAAGAGAAAAGGGCGAAGGGCGGCACACGCCCAGGGCGCGGGTCCAGAGGGACGAGAGCCGGCACCGCGTCGCCAGCCGGGCCGGCGGTGGCCCGGCCGGGGCTCACCGATTGTTCGCTCCGCCGACACCGCCGCATCGCCATGATGGTTTTGCACCCCCGCCGCCGACACCGCAAGCCGCTCGTGGGGCCGGTGAAGCAATTCGGAGAAGATAAAATGGTGCCGGAACGGGCAATTAGGCGCGCAAACGAAAGCGCGAGCACGGCACGCGCCGTCCTGATGGCGTGGCGGTGAGAGGGAGCAAGGTGCGAGTTTAGTCTCACCAGGAGAGAACGCACCGGGGCTGTGTATGTGTCCGCTGTTAGGCCAGGAGAATTGGCCGCCCGCTACAATTTCTTGCTTCGCTGACGAGGTGGGCAAAGCGCCGACTAATTATTCCGCGCATTCGTTAATTTCCCCTCTCGCCCACGGTCCGATCTCATCATCGAATCAAAGGCATCATCACGGCTCGAGGCGCTTGGCAAATCAGGGTGCTCTTACATCAGTGCGTGTGTCAATGCTGCGTCTCTCCCTCCCGCCCGCCCGCCCCCTCCCTTACTCAGGGCGCACGCGCACACACGCAGCAACGGCAGCATCAACACAGCCATCACATCCATCTCCAGGGTGTTTAATATTTCAGGACGGGGGTAGTTCAATTGCACTCACGGAGGCTCTGGTACAGTGATGCACGGGGGATGGAGGGGGGGGGGTGTGACCCGTTTTTTTTTATTTTGCTGGGTAAAGCTCAAACATCGACTTTACGTATTTGTGATTTTCTGTTCCAGTGGAGACGCCAGTGAGGAAGCTGGATGAGAACCATCGATACAACCCCGACGTGAAAGGTACGGTCGCCCAGACACCGTGACCTATCGTCACCCACGGTGACCCACGGTGACCCACGGTGACCCACCGTGACCCACCGTGACCCACCGTGACCCATGAAGGTCGTTTACCCAGGAGAAACTCACGGAGTCTAAAGCCTCTTTGTCAGGAGCGTCCTGCCTAATTATTGCAGTAGGGGGGAGAGGGCGACAACTGTGGGTATTTTTTTCAAATTTGATCAAATTTGTCACGGGACAGTCGCATCAATCGCGCTGTTGCCGTAAAAATAACACGAGGTCTCTAGTGGATAGCGAATCCGCCCAAGCGATCTGATAAAGCCGCACGTTTTAACCCGTGAAGGCGTCTCTCTAAACCGAACGGAAATAATTCTGGCCGCGCACACGGCCGGCACGGTGCGGGCTCGCGGCGATTCGTGGCAGCGGCGATTCGTGGCCGCGGTGATGGCGCCGCTGCCCGCGTCCGAGACGCCCGCCGCCAGGGAGGGCGAGACGCTCCGCTGACAGCGCTGCCGGGGTTAAGAGGTTGCGTGACATACAGAGGTAATAATAACGAGCGACGACGATGGTGATATACAGAACCTTGTCGGTTCACTCATGGATGAAGGCCTCCCCCACGCCATGCTGGTCACGGGAACCTTTTGACCGTACTTCACCATGCCGGCGAAGAGAGGGCCCAGGGCCGGTTTAGATATCAACTGCCGCTGATGTTAACCGACTCCCGCAGCCGACCGAGGCGGTCGGGTCGGTGACACCGCGGTGCGTGAAACACCCCCAGCCCCCCCCCCACCCCCGTCGGGACGTAACGACGCGGCGCGGCGTCCGCTGCTTGCAGGCAACAAAGACGAGCGGAAGGAGGAGGTCTACAAGAGCCCCCAGGCGCCGTGTCCGGACAAGTTCAAGGAGTACTGCACGCACGGGAAGTGCGAGTACACGTACTCCCTGCGGGAGGCCACCTGCCAGTGAGTGAGGCTCCACCACGCCACGCCCCTCCGTGTTACCCACGCGGCCTTCGGACCCACCGCACGCTCCGCCGTGTCGAACGCCGTCGGTGTTTTAACCGCGTGTAGCCGTCTGGGTTGGGTCGCGCGCGACGAGTTCCTCATTTCCGTGGCTTGTTTGGTCGAGACGTTACGGCGCTCTTCGACGTGGTGTTGTTCATTTTGCAAAGCGTGTTTGGGGCGAGCGGTCCGCAATGTCCTCCGCGTGGTGACCGCGGCTGGCAGCTCCGGCACGGCGGAGGGCCGCGTTTGTCCCGCACTCCGCCGTTACAAAACGTCGGGCGCGAGCGCAAAAAGAGGACCAGAGGCGAGGAGCTCGCGTCTCGGGGAAGCTGTGGCGATGCCACTCTCAAGGAGGGCCCTGGCCGCGGAGATTGGTGCACGCTCGCCGCGAGAATTCTCGTATATCGTAACCCGCGAGTTGCCATTACGGACGCGGCGACCGTGGCGCAGAACAGCCGCGCGCACAACCGGCGCGGTCCGGCGCTGTGTCGCCGCGCCGCGTGCGCGTTTGAAGGGTTTGCGCTCGCCGCCCCGTTCGGCGCGTCGACGCTCGGCCGGGTCGTCGACCGGGGGCCGGCGTGGAGAGGCTCGAGAATCCGGCGAGGCCACGGGCGCTGCCGCAGCCGTGCCCGGCGGTGGCCGTGACGAGCGCGCGGCTGCCGTTATGAATGGCGCGTTGCGCCCGCGTTGTTATTGCGGCTGTAATTGTTTTCTTTCGGAGTCTCGGAGGGCCAAAGGGGCGATAAAGCCTCGTGCGTAACGGCTGCGCAAAGCACAACCTTGTTTTTTACGCGCGTCTGAATTGCGCGTTCATTGCCGACCGATTTCGTCAACGCACGCCGCTGTTGAAGCACCGGGGCGGGAAGCCGGGCGAGGGTCGCGCCGCCGTGGTGCCCGGCACGCAGCGGCGTCGCCACGGAGCGCGCAGGCGGTGCAACCGCACTGGGGCCCGCGGGCCGGAGGCACCCAGGTGCCCGGTCGCGGGGACACGAAGAGGGGTGGGGGAGGGGGCCTGTCCCGTGCCCTGCACCAGGGCCCGTGCCGCCCACGCTATGCCACTGCCACCACGACTCGGCGTGGGGTGCCGAGGGAAGAGGCGATGACTCGTGTCGCCCCCCCCCCCCCCCCCAGGTGTGACTCGGGCTACACGGGCCACCGCTGCGACAAGGAGCTCAACATCCTGTACGTGATTCCCAGCGGAGAGAAGCTGCACTACGTCCTCATCGCAGCCATAGTGGGCGCCGTGCAGATCGCCATCATCATCGCCATCGTCATCTGCATCGTCCGGCAAGTGGCGCTCGGCCCCGGGGAGAGGGGGGGGGAGGGGATGGAGTTGATGCGAGGGAGGTGAACTGATAATCATTAAATTACCGCCCTGGGCACAAATGAGGCCGCGCCTCCACACTGCGCGTCCGCGTGTGGCCGGCCCCCCGCCCGCGCGGCCATCGGCACGGCCACAGCCAAGGCCCCGTGTCTCTGTGCGGAGTGCGTCGGTGGCGTCGGTGTCGCGATTCGAGTGGATGTCTCGCGCGTCGCGATGCTCACGACACGCTCCCTGTGCTTGACGCGGATCTGTGCGGCGCTCCCTCGGCCCGCAGGAAGTGCGGGAAGCGCAAGCGGGGACGGCCGCAGAAGCACAGCCTGGGCCACTTCAACTCGGACTGCGGCACCACCGCCTCCTCGCTCATGATCTGACGCCGCCACCGCGAGCCATCTCAACGACCCGACAATAATTTTTAATATTTTACATTTTTGTTGGGGCTGGGGGCGGGTGGGGTGGGTGCTGTGGGGGGGTGGGGGGCGTGGGGGGGGGGGGCGGAAAGGGCGGGGTGGGTGGGTGGGTTTATTCGTCTTAAAAAAAAATTAACAAAAAAATGTGTAGAAAAATAAAAAAAGTCTTGTAAAAAGACATGGGGAGTGAGTAATGGAGACGGCAGTCGCAGTGATGCAGGGGGGGGGGGGAGGGAGAGCACTGTCACGGAGCTTCCCAGCAGCAGCAGCAGCGCCACTGTGGACCAAGTGGAGGTGGTGGACTTGGGGGAGACTCGGATCGTAGCTTGAGGTTTACACTGTCGAGTTGAGAAACAACAACAACAACACGTTTGTACCTGTATAAATTGTTCATTACCGTGTGTGTCTGATTTTTCCAAAGTTTGTAATTTATTTAATTCTTCGGACATAGTAACGTGCATTTCAGCGCAAGCGGAGCGCGGGGCAGCGCTGCGCCCGCCTCGCGCCGCGTCGTCTCCGTGTGGTGTCTCCGTGTGGTGTCTCCGCCGTGCCAGTAGTGTCCGTGAGCGACGACGAGGAGGAGGAGGAGAGCTTAGAAGCAATTTGTATTGTAATTAAACGTTCACGATTGCATGACCAAGTAAATAAACCTACACGGCTTTTAGAGAAAAAAAAAACGCGCGGCGAGCGCCGGGGTCCGTAGTGGACTGCCTCCTCGCGGTGTCTCTCTCTGTGTGTGTGTGTGTCTCTGTGTGTGTCTGTGTGTGTCTCTGTGTGTGTCTGTGTGTGTGTCTCTGTGTGTCTGTGTGTGTGTGTGTCTCTGTGTGTGTCTGTGTGTGTCTGTGTGTGTGTCTCTCTGTGTGTGTCTCTGTGTGTGTGTGTGTCTCTGTGTGTGTGTGTGTCTGGGGCATCTCACTCCTCAGTGTGCCGGGAAAGGTCCTGGCAAGGATTATTCAACATCGCCTTGCCAGGCACGCTGAGGAGAGGCTTGCGGAGCCCCAATGCGGTTTCAGGAAAGGGCGGTCCTGCACAGATGCCATATTTTCTGTCCGTCTGTTACAGCAGAGGTGTAGGGAATTCCAACAAGACCTACATCTCTGCTTTATTGACCTGGTCAAGGCCTATGATACCATCAGTAGGCCTGGGCTCTGGGTTGTTCTTCGTGCTTTTGGAGTACCTGACCCTCTGCTCACGATCATTAAGGACCTTCATGATGGTGAGCGGGCCCGGGTAAAACTACGTGGCCGGGAGTCAGAGCCATTCCCTGTACACCTTGGGGTGCGACATGGATGTCCTCTGGCTCCCACATTATTTAACATCTATTTTGACCACGTAGTTCGTGAAGCCTTCAATAGCTGTACCGGGGGAATCTCCATATGGTACAGATATAATGGGAGGCTGATCGATGCCCGGGTGCGGTCAAGGGATGGCTCCCTATTGCTCAACCACGTTATGTATGCTGATGATTTGGTAATAGCTGCTCAGTCAGAGGAGGAGTTGGAGACGCTGCTGCTGAGACTGGTGGCGTGCCACTAAGAGGTGGGGCCTTACCATCAGCCCCACCAAAACTAAGCACCTGCCTGGGTATTTTGTACCATCGGACACTCCACCCCCACAACTCCCAATCGGTGATGGGGCAGTTGTGGAGAGAGTGGAGAGTTTCCCATACCTGGGCAGTGCGCTTATGACTGGCTCCAGTTTAACAGCAGAGGTCTCACTCCGAATCAGTCGAGCGGCAATATCTTTTCATCGGTTGCGTAACGCTGTGTGGAAACTACCTGATCTGTCGCTCCGCACTAAGCTTCAGGTCTTCTCGGCCACGGTCATTCCCTCACTTCTCTACGCTTGCGAAACGTGGACCCCCCTAATGGAACATCTTCGCCGGTTAGAAACATTTAGGCTGGCCTGCCTACGATCCATCCTGGGTCTAACCAGACTGGATTGTGTGAGGAGCTCACAAATCCTTGAAAGATCTGGGCAGGGTCCCATCGGTGAGCTCCTCCGGCAGGCAAGGCTGCGATGGCTGGGTCATGTAGCCCGCATGCCCAGCCACCGCATGCCGAAACAGCTTTTGTTTGGCCGGATTGAGGGGGCTAAGCGGGCGCGGCACGGGCTAGAGAAGAGATGGAGTGATGTGGTACAGGAGGACGTGGAGCTGAGTGGACTTGCCGATGACTGGTACCAGCGGTGTCAAGATCGGCCTCTGTGGAGGAGGCTCGTGAAGGATGCTACTGGGCAGTTGGAGGTAGTCGCCCTCCAACAACAACGGAGGGCGGAGGAGTGACGCTCAGAACAACGAGCGGAGCGCCGGGTGGCTAAAGCACAGCAGGTTGGCACAGTAGGGGGCACAGGTGGTGCATCAGCCAGTCATCTCAGTCAGTCGACCCGTGGCACCTGGGTCTGCCCCGTGACCTCCTGCCAGCGGGCGTTCGACACTTCACGTGGCCTCAGGGTGCACATAGCCTGGCACAAGCGTCGTGGTGACGTCACCGCCACTTAGTGGCGAATGGCGGTTGTTGTGTTGTGTGTGTGTCTCTCTGTGTGTCTGTGTGTGTGTCTCTGTGTGTGTGTCTCTGTGTGTGTGTGTCTCTGTGTGTGTCTCTGTGTGTGTGTCTCTCTGTGTGTGTGGACGCGGTGTCTCTCTGTGTGTGTGTCTCTCTGTGTGTGTCTCTCTGTGTGTCTCTCTGTGTGTGTGTCTGTGTGTGTCTCTCTCTGTGTGTGTCTCTGTGTGTGTGTCTCTGTGTGTGTCTGTGTCTCTGTGTGTGTGGACGCGGTGTCTCTCTGTGTGTGTGTCTCTGTGTGTGTGTCTCTGTGTGTGTGTCTCTGTGTGTGTCTCTCTGTGTGTGTCTCTGTGTGTGTGTGTCTCTGTGTGTGTGTGTCTCTGTGTGTGTCTCTGTGTGTGTGTCTCTCTGTGTGTGTGGACGCGGTGTCTCTCTGTGTGTCTCTCTGTGTGTGTCTCTCTGTGTGTGTCTCTGTGTGTGTGTCTCTCTGTGTGTGTCTCTCTGTGTGTCTCTCTGTGTGTGTCTCTCTGTGTGTGTCTCTGTGTGTGTGTCTCTCTGTGTTTTGCCTCAGTGGCCCGTGATCACAAATCTCTATTTAACTCCATCAAAAAAGTAACCTGCAGCGCCACACCTATTACCATCATTAGGGGAAAAAACGGCGATCCAATCTCCGACCCCCAGGAACAGGTTCGCAGATTTGCTGAGCATTTCTGTGAGGTCCTGGGGGAGGGAAAATCCCTCAGCCAGGAAAACATCGTGGCACAAAGTGAGGATGACCCTGCTGAGGCTGCGGTGCCTCAAGTATTGGAAGAAGTCACCCCCTGTGAGTGGCTGGCTGAGGTGCCATCTGCTGAGAAAGTATTGAAGGCGATCCGGAGTCTGAGACCAGGAAAGGCAGCGGGCAGAGATGATCTCCCAAGCGAAATGCTGAGGGAGGGTGGCGTTTGTGCACAGACTGCCCTATATGACATCATAACAACAGTCTGGACCACTGGACGGGTTCCGCAGGATTGGAAGGATGCCCTGGTGGTCCCCCTTTAAGAAGGGGGACCGCACAGACTGTAACAACTACAGGGGCATCTCACTCCTCAGTGTGCCGGGAAAGGTCCTGGCAAGGATTATTCAGCATCGCCTTGCCAGGCACGCTGAGGAGAGGCTTGCGGAGCCCCAATGCGGTTTCAGGAAAGGGCGGTCCTGCACAGATGCCATATTTTCTGTCCTTCTGCTACAGCAGAGGTGTAGGGAATTCCAACAAGACCTACATCTCTGCTTTATTGACCTGGTCAAGGCCTATGATACCATCAGTAGGCCTGGGCTCTGGGTCGTTCTTCGTGCTTTTGGAGTACCTGACCCTCTGCTCACGATCATTAAGGACCTTCATGATGGTGAGCGGGCCCGGGTAAAACTACGTGGCCGGGAGTCAGAGCCATTCCCTGTACACCTTGGGGTGCGACAGGGATGTCCTCTGGCTCCCACATTATTTAACATCTATTTTGACCACGTAGTTCGTGAAGCCTTCAATAGCTGTACCGGGGGAATCTCCATATGGTACAGATATAATGGGAGGCTAATCGATGCCCGGGTGCGGTCAAGGGATGGCTCCCTATTGCTCAACCACGTTATGTATGCTGATGATTTGGTAATAGCTGCTCAGTCAGAGGAGGAGTTGGAGACGCTGCTGCTGAGACTGGAGCGTGCCACTAAGAGGTGGGGCCTTACCATCAGCCCCACCAAAACTAAGCACCTGCCTGGGTATTTTGTACCATCGGACACTCCACCCCCACAACTCCCAATCGGTGATGGGGCAGTTGTGGAGAGAGTGGAGAGTTTCCCATACCTGGGCAGTGCGCTTATGACTGGCACCAGTTTAACAGCAGAGGTCTCACTCCGAATCAGTCGAGCGGCAATATCTTTTCATCGGTTGCGTAACGCTGTGTGGAAGCTACCTGATCTGTCGCTCCGCACTAAGCTTCAGGTCTTCTCGGCCACGGTCATTCCCTCACTTCTCTACGCTTGCGAAACGTGGACCCCCCTAATGGAACATCTTCGCCGGTTAGAAACATTTAGGCTGGCCTGTCTACGATCCATCCTGGGTCTAACCAGACTGGATTGTGTGAGGAGCTCACAAATCCTTGAAAGATCTGGGCAGGGTCCCATCGGTGAGCTCCTCCGGCAGGCAAGGCTGCGATGGCTGGGTCATGTAGCCCGCATGCCCAGCCACCGCATGCCGAAACAGCTTTTGTTTGGCCGGATTGAGGGGGCTAAGCGGGCGCGGCACGGGCTAGAGAAGAGATGGAGTGATGTGGTACAGGAGGACGTGGAGCTGAGTGGACTTGCCGATGACTGGTACCAGCGGTGTCAAGATCGGCCTCTGTAGAGGAGGCTCGTGAAGGATGCTACTGGGCAGTTGGAGGCAGTCGCCCTCCAACAACAACGGAGGGCGGAGGAGCGATGCTCAGAACAACGAGCGGAGCGCCGGGTGGATAAAGCACAGCAGGTTGGCACAGTAGGGGGCACAGGTGGTGCATCAGCTAGTCATCTCAGTCAGTCGA